TATGTATGTATGTATTATGTGTGTGTATGTATGTGCGGATACAAATTTTCGTCGACGATTTCGGGAACACGGATCAACCGATTTGAATAATTCAAAAACTTTCGATTTGTATTGATAAGGAGACGTGCTGATTAGTTTTTGGCAAAGGCAGGTCTAGCCGTTCCGAAGATACGGGGCAAAAATGCCGAAAACGGTAACTCAGTTTTTAAGAGAACGGAGCGTCCGATTTGAATAATTCAAAAACATTTCACTTGTATTGACAAGATGAAGAATCGATAAATTTTCATGAAGGTAGGTCTAGCGGTTTCGGAAATATGGAGCAAAAAGTAAAAAAATGAGCCATTGGCGGTCAAAAATGATCATTGGACATATGCACATCATTTTATCAGATATTTTATAGAGATTTTAACAATAAGTTACAATTTGTTAACATTCCTATGGGTTCCGTACCAATGCTTATGCGTTAGACAGCGACGCGGCGCTTACGCGCTTTATATTTTGTCCCTATGCAGATAAAGCAGTACGATTGCTTTGAAAAAAGTTCAGATCTTCCACAATATGTCAAAATAAAGAAAAAGTTTTTTTTTTTTCAAAAAAAAAGTAATTTTTTGTCCAATTTATAGTTTCTCAAAAATCTTATTTTTTCAAAGTAAATTTTTTCAAAATGTTAATCGTTTTTAAAAAATAATAATTTTTGGTACGGGAAGTTCCAGCAATTTGCCTTCAGGCACGATGCCTTAATTGCCTTAAGACAGAATTCCACTTACAGCTAGTTTTTCACCATATTCTTACAATTATTACATATATATTTCTTATACATTCATCTTATATACTATCTCTTCTTATATCCTAATCTTCCATTCAATTTTCATTCTTCAATTCTATTCAATTTTCATTCTTCTTCTTGTTTCTCAGTATGTTCTTCTCAACTTCTAAACTAAACTTCTTTTTTCCTTCTTACTGCTAATACTTCTGTTGTATTTTACAAATTAACAATTCTTAATCTACTTTAATATTTTATATTTTTAATTCTAGTATTGCTGGAGATTCGAACCGAATTCCTCCAGCGTGTGAGTCAACTATTCTCGCCACACAATTGGCTTCAAGATTATATCTTTCTCGTTCATTTTTTTAAATTTAAATAGCGAATATTAGTATGCACTAGCAAAAGCATTCTCAAACTAGTGGGGTGCATGACATCGTGTCTTAAGGCAAATTGCTAGAACTTCCCATACCGTAATTAAAAATCTTGGTACGGAACCCAAAGAAATTTACACATGTGTACACATTATTAAAATCTCTATAAAATATCTGATAATTTGATGCACATATCCCAATAAACATTTTTGACCGCCAAACGACATTTTTTTTAACTTATTTTTATTGAGAGTCCCTAAATGCTGGACGGCCCTGCCTCTCCAAAAATTAATCAGTTCATCTCTTGTCAATACAAGTAAAATGTTTTTTGAATTATTAAATCGGACGCTCCGTTCTCTTAAAAACTGAATTACCGTTTTTAGCACTTTTTGCCCCGTATCTTCGGAACGGATAGACCTGCCTTCTCCAAAAACTAATCAGTCTTCTTATCAATACGAATCGAATGTTTTTTGAATTATTCAAATCGGTTGATCGGTGTTCCCGAAATCGTCGACGAAAATTTGTATCCGCACACACACACACATACGTCATATTTTTTCTACGGTATGCCAAAATATTCAGAAACCTTAGAAACATAAAGATATATAAATAATTTCATTTATTACTATAACTTACTCTATAGGGCTATATTCTCTAATAAAGATAAAATTCTATTGCCAAATGGTTATAAAAACTAACATATTTTTCTAAAAAAATATTTAAAATAGTATATGGAATTTGTTTCAAATTTTTAATTTAATGTTAAATATATTTTGAAGTTCAAATTTCAATTATATGCTGCTACTTTTAGATCTAAAACGATTGCAATAAATAACTTACCATATAAACAAGATTTTATAGCCAAAAGTTTATAATTTTTTTTTGAAAATGATCTATGAAATTTGTTTCGAATTTTAAATTATATTTAAATTTAATTTTTCATTCAAATCTAAAACGTTGCAATAATATATACTTTCGAAATTATTCATTATTTCGGGGCCATTATTACTGTAATTTACAATACCAGAAATATATTTTATTAGAACTAATATTTGTAAGTATCGACTTTCATCCAAGATTATAGATTTCTCGTTTGCTTATTTGAATAATAAATATTAGTATGTACTAACAAAAAGCAATTCTGAAATGAGCTCTCTCGGATATATTCTTTTCATAAAGATGAGAAATAAGAAAAAGAAGTTATTTGTAATATTTTTTTGAAAATATCATTTGGAAATTGGTTTCAATCCTTAATCAAATACATTTCAAATTTTATTTAAATGCTACTACCATTTAAATCTAAAACGATTGCAATGAAATTGTACTTTCAAAGTATTTCATTAATTCGTGACTATTATTATTACATAATTTACAACAGACAGAAATATTTTTTATTGTAATTAATAGTTGCAAGTCGATATTCATATACACTTTAACATTATAGCTTTCTTGTTTAATTTTTTCTATTTAAGTAATGAATGGATTATGTTAGCATTTCTACGTATTACGTCTTAGAAAATGTGTTATGGAACCGGAAAAAAAATTGACCTTTAATTTTAAACAATATTTAGAAAAATTTGAGTCTACATTTCTTTTCCAAGTCATTTACTAACTTTACAACAATAAAATATAAATCATAGTATTGAATTTTTTTAATTTGGATAGATACTGCATTTCCTGCTGATTTTTGGTAAAGATGATAACAAAAATATTCTTTTTAAATATTTTGTCAACTGTATGTTTGCGTTCACATATTGCGTACAAAAATCAATTTGCATAAACCAATTAATTTTTTGTGACATTTTAAAATTAAGTGCTACTATCGAGGAAAATTGTTTATTTAGAAGAAGAAATTAGTCAAATCAAATAATAAAATTCGAATTTGAGGCCAGTATAATTTGGACTTAATATTTTTTTAATTAAATATATATGCTGGAAATAGAACTCTATTTCATATTCAGTAAACTAGAAAAAGAAACGGCAATTCTTAACATTTATTTTTTAACCATGAAAGACGCAACAGTGTGCCGTACAATATAATAAATACAAAAGTAAGCAAAGCTGTGGGACAGCTGGTTGGTAGACATAAATTTGCTAAAATATACATGCCCTTGGCATGGGGTCATTACTCACATGTTTCGAAAATATACCTGTTCAAAAAAAAACGAGATCTTCATTTCTAAAATATTAAATACTATCATAAATATTACTGACTCCTATGCTTTGAAATTAAAATCAATCACAATTTTTGATTAGAATTATTTATTTAATTGGCTTTAATAATTAAATAATTACTTATTGAAAAATGTTTTTGGCCTTCACATTCGGATATGATAGGATAGATAGATAAAAACATTACTCGGTTATATACGTGCATATATATGCGCATTTTATCTTATGTTATTGTTGTAACTATGGATAATAATATATTAGCGTTTGGTGCGAAGGCGTGGTATGAAAATGCCACATTTTTTCACCGCTTTTTCATTCCATTTTTATGGTTTACATTTCTACATTTTGCTTTTTAAACGTCCTGTCTAAATCTTCAGTTCCTTGAATTTTTTCTTGCGTATATCGTCGAACAGCTGATTATTGTTCATCATGTTCTTTGAAATCTTCTATTATATTTCGACGTCGTAGTGCACCATTTCGATACACTCCAGGTAGTTTTTTCTATTGTCAACTTTTGTATACACACACACGCACACACACATATCTATATAGGGTGTGTGTGTACTAGCTGACGTTAATTTTGCCATTTAAATTATATTTAAAAACTTTTTAGTTTTCTAACTAAATATAACTGTGTGTGCATAAATTTGAATATATGATATATTTCATTAGATAATATATTGATATATGTAAATATACTAAAATGACACCATTTTTTAATTTTCAGTACCACGAAGTTCTTCAGTATCCTGTCCAGGCCCTAACAATTTGACGCCACTTCTTTTCCACACCGTCCATGGCGAGAATATTCGGATATCTCGCGACGGCACCTGCGCACGCAGATGCGAAAGTTTCTGCAAGGGGATAACCTTCTCGGCGCGTCCGGTGCGTATCGGCGAACGCGTTTATGTCAAATTTTCCGAAATATCCGACAACTGGAGTGGCGTTATACGATTTGGATTCACTTCTAATGACCCATCATCTCTGAAGCATGCTTTGCCTAAGTATGCATGTCCAGATCTCACTCACCAACAAACCAGGCTATTGGGCGAAAGCTTTAGCTGAACGGTTTTGTGAGAAAAATAATGTCTTATTTTATTATGTGAATGCCACCGGAGATGTACACTTTGGGGTCAACGGTGATGAGAAGGGAATCTTTTTTAGCGGTGTAGAGACTAGATCGCCATTATGGACGCTAATAGATGTATACGGCAATTGCACTGGTATCGAGTTCTTAGACCCAAGGATTCAAGTCGACACGTCCTATGAAAGACCCTATACGGATTCTGAGTTCAGTGGTGTTATTTCTTCTATGCAGACATTGACCGTACATGAGGAACTTCCTGCACCGCGATTTACACTTCCAGCTGCACCATCACCAGCATCGTCTAGTTCAATGCCATTCCACTGGGTTCGAGGCCGCAACGTTCGATTTTCGGCTGATCGCACAATTGCAAGCCGTGTAGAGACCGAATTTTCACAGGGATATGTTTTCACCGCGAGGCCAATCCGCATAGGGGAAAAACTAATTGTTCATGTTATGAGTACTGAGCCTATGTTTGTTGGTGCTCTAGCTCTTGGGCTTACGTCATGCGATCCTGCTACGTTGACTCAGTCAGATTTACCTGATGATTCTGACATGCTGTTGGATAGGCCAGAGTATTGGGTTGTGACGAAAACAGCTGGAAATCCTGAACGAGACGATCGCATATCGTTTTGTGTTACTGCTACAGGCGAAGTACATATGAGTAAGAATGATGGTCCTAGAACTGTTGTAATGCATGTGGATCAGAGCCTGCAGTTATGGGCGTTTCTAGATATTTATGGCTCTACTCAAAGCGTTCGAATGACCAGCGATATTTCTCCTCCCATCGTACAACCCCCGTCGCAGCGACTGCACGTTTGTCTTTCTGCATCTAATGTGGGATCGGAATCGATGAATAATTTTAATTCGCAAGCAGAACAGCGACAAAGGAGACTAGTAGCATCATCAGGGAGATTTATTCAAATGCCTTCCACAACTGATATGATGCAAGTTCAATCCGTGACGAATGGTGGTGCCTATCTTGTTGTCAATTTACCTCCTCCGCATGCTAGCTTGTTGTCTTCGAGTAGTAATCATCATAACAATGTTGGATCAAGTGGGAAACTAGTATCGAATTACAATAATTCATATCCTGAGGTGAGTTAAATTAATTTTTAGAAAATTATTATTCTTCTTTGCCTTTGGTTTTGGTTAAAGACCAAATTACTCAAAATGCGCGTTATTCATAGCAAAATTTACATAAAACTGCTGTAATTACTGATTACTAAATGTTTTGTTTTGATATATCAAAGCAAATCTGCGCTTGGCACTTTTAATCTTTTTGTTGATTTTATTTCGATAATATGTTTACAACAAAATTTTTAAATATTTTTTGCGGGATATAATTTAATTTAATCAACGTGCATTTAGAAGTATGTAATTTTTATTTTTATTATTTCAGGCTGTTTCCTCATCATGCTCTGCGATAGACAACAATGGACCATTTCCTGGCGAAGAATGCACAATATGTTATGAAAATCCAATAGATTGTGTGTTATACATGTGCGGTCACATGTGCATGTGCTACGAGTGTGCAATACAACAGTGGAGAGGTAAGGTGGCGGGCATTGTCCTTTATGTCGTGCCGTAATAAGAGATGTCATAAGAACTTATAAGTCATGCTAGCAGAAATGAATGTAGTTATGTATTTCAATTACAAAAACATACACATTAGAAGTATCAGTTAAAAACAATTATTAATAAAATCATTTTGAATGAAAATCATAGTCAAAGATTAATTTCTTTTATGAATATATAGAAATTGTATAAATTTTTAATAACATGGATTGCGTATAATTTAAACAATCCTGCATTTTACAAAAATAAATTATTGGTGTAAAGTATATTGATGAAAATTGTAAAATTTATTAACAAATCTGAATAGATTAATTTCTGTAAATATATAATGTTAATTAGTGTATGAGACTTGATCAGAATTTTCATATCCAATACTAAAAACTGGCATTCAACATTACCAAAGAAATAAAATAATGTTATCAACTAATAAATCAATAACTTACTCTGACTGAAAATTTAAACAATAAGATAAGTGTGTTTTCAATTATGCAAATGAACATAAATCATCAATTATTCAATATATTTTAGGTAACATTTACAACTATTATAGTAAATAAATGTTTTTTTAAAGTAAATTCAATAATTAAGTGAAGCAGACTTCTTTTACATAAGTTCAATGCATGTTTCAGAATTCTTTATGTAATATTAAGGATTATAATTTCTATTTATTTTGAAATATCAAAAATAATTTAAAAATATAATCTTATTTTTATGCTTTGAAAAATGACTAAAATGGTCAGTAAAAAAAGTGGCCTCCTCTGATAAGTTAATTTAATATTTACTTACATATGTAAGTTATTGATAGCATTGTTTTAATTATCAATTTAGTATCTGTGATTATTAGTGTGCTATTGGAAGTAATACTGAAATATTTAAAAACAGTGGAAATTGAATTGATTAGACGAAATAACTGTTTTTTTTTTAAAAAACTATAGTATTTAAACCTGTTAGTCACATTAAAATGTATTAATATTAAGTCCATTATGTAGATTTTATAATATGATTTATTTATTTAATAAATTTTTTTTATTTATTATATTGTGTATTTTACATATTTATTAATTTAGTACCAAACATCTGTCAGGTTTAATCACAAAGTGGCTCATATTATATTTTGAGAAGTATTTAGAATGGTTTTGTTAAACTTTTGATGTTTAAGTTCTGTGATTTTCTTTTCTCAATGCAACAAATTTTATAGAATGTGATGTGCAAATAACTATTACAGAAAAAAAAAACATATAAAGGGTTATATTATTAGAAAATCATTTTCATCGAAGCATTTAAAGTAAGCAATAAGAAAGGGCATGGTTGCGTTGGCCATAGAATATCATTTCATTCTGGATTTGAAACCATAAATGATAATTTGTAAAAAACCAATGAAAGATATTGAAAATATGTGAAAGTCAAGATTATATAGAAGTAGACAGTACTATTTATAACATCTAATGCATAATCGTTGATATTTTGTTCACAATATGACAAACAATGAGTTGACAAGAGTTCACTTGCTCATATTTTTAATGATATCTAGTCCAATGTTGAAAGAGTTTTTTTAATTAAGTTTTCTCATAAAGATCTAATAAGTTATTCAAATAAGAAGCGAGGGGCGATTTTTAGGTCAATGCAGGCATAAGACCAATAAGACTCAGGGTGCGTTCGACTTGGACGCTTAGGCGCTGTGAGCGCGCCGTGAGCGTGGCATAAGTACGCCGTGAGTGTGGCATAAGTACGCTCGTAGCACCATCATGGGATGCTCGTAGCACATATTTTGCGCTCACATATGCTCACGCCACAGAGGTAGGGCAGTGTGAGCGTGAGCATCAGTTGTTTTTACTATCTGTCATTTCATTTATTTATTAATTGTCAAATTCTTTATAATCCCGCAAAATGCCAAGTTGTATATCACAATTATTTTTTCATATTAATATTGATATTAATTAATTTTAAATTAATTAATTTTAAATAATTTTAAATTTCAATTTCAATATTACTATTAATTAAGCATAAGCTAACCAAATTTCATTTATTTATTATTGTTAATTCTTTATAATCCCGCAAAAATGCCAAGTTGTATATCACAATTATTTTTTAATATTAATTTAATATTAATTAATTTTAAATTCAATTAATTTTAAATAATTTTAAATTTTAATTTTAATATTACTATTAATTAAGCATAAGCTAACCAAATTTCATTTATTTATTAATTGTTAAATTTTTATAATCCCGCAAAAATGCCAAGTTGTATATCACAATTATTTTTTAATATTAATATTAATATTAATTAATTTTAAATTTAATTAATTTTAAATAATTTTAAATTTTAATATTAATATTAATATTAATATGAATTAAGCATAAGCAAACCAAATTTCATTTATTTATTAATTGTTAAATTCTATATAATCCCGCTGAATGATACAGAAAGTAATAAAATTTACACAATTACCGTTACCGCCAGTTGCCGCCATTTTGATGCTTATTGACGCTCACAGTTTCCAAAACGAACGGAATTTAGTTATCGATTCTGAGCGCTTATCGGCCAAGTCGAACGCTAAAAATTCGTGCTTATAAGCGTGAGCGCTCACAGCGCGTAAGCGTCCAAGTCGAACGCACCCTCATTGTCCTATTGTTGCGGAAACGTTGGTGTGTGCCATATGCATACTTCTATTTCATAATAATTCTTGTTTATATCTATGCATATAGATATCTTTATCTGCATAAGCCTTTCCTTAGCCGCTGAAAAGAATATTTGAAATTGTTTAATTTAAGATTTAGCTTTCTTTTACTCCTTTTACTATTTTCTTCACTAATCTGTTTGAATTTTGGTTCTACTGTTGAAATGTGAAGTATGCCATAAGTGTTCAAACATAGATAAAAGAAGAGTTCAAACATAGATAAAGTAAGAGTATGTATGTGTTCAAAGTGATGGCGTTCATTGACAGCTTTTATTGCAGTAGTTGATTTCGTTATCAAATGCAGTTGAGGTGAATATCAGTTTATAAATATTAGTTTTGGCATATAATTGTGTTTAAAACACGGCATTAAATGTGACAAAAAGCGCGAGTCTAATCAGGCGTATTATAAGATTATAACCATAGATAAACAAGTATAAACATGATTATAACCTAACAAATTTAAATAAGGACGGCTATTTTTCGTTTGAAGTATGTCAGTAAACAAAAAGAAGGATCTAAGATCTAAGAGTTGTTCTGATACATGAATTGGCGGACCCAATTCGATTTGGAATTTCCTAATATTCTCCATTTATTCCGGACACTGCTTTCAGTTAGTATTTAGGCATTAGAAATTATTAAGAATTATTAACGTAATGCTCTTATTTTGCACTACGCACTTTGTATGATCTATGTATCACCACTCTCGTTTCCTTTCAGTGAATAAATCTTGAATAGCCTTTTGGCTATCACGATGTAAAACCAATCATGTCTACTGTCATATATATCGAGTGGCATGATTACTAATACAGGCATGGTAGATGCTCGCAGTTGCTAGAATGGATTGACAGTTTTCTCATAATTTTTAAACTACTGAATAAATATATTTTCTAAATTTGAGCTTTGTATTTACTATTTTAAGGAGAACTTTACCATACTCAATTCAAATGGCTGTGGATTGGTAGTTTTTATTCTTTACTTAAACATATGTGAATTACAACAAATTATTTTTTTTATTTTGAGGAATGGTGGTGCAAGGGCTGTCAATACCATTGGTACTTTCTTAAATAGCTCATATTTAAATATTATATGAAAATATTTTCCAACTCGCTGGGTTCTTTTAATTAATTTGTAATTTTAGATGTATAATACTGACAACAATTATATATAGTGTGGCTCTGATGCTACCAATATATCAAGTTTACTGCACCTTCTTCATGCTGTGCTGAGAAGTTTGAGTTGCATTGTGGAATCCAAATCTCATATTTGTAAGTTCACCTTGGAATTCGAGATACCCAGCTGTAAGTCTGTGAATACTTGTATATTGCCACCCTAAAGTTCTCTCAAAACCTACATATGGCATTGACAATGGGTGTCAATATACAAGTATTTACAGACTTACAGCTTGGTATACCTAATTTAAGCTTAAATGACTGGACTATAATCCACACCGTGTACAGAAAGCAGTCTTCACAATTGTTTTAACCTTTGAAATCTTAGTGTGTGTCTTCACCAGGTCTGCTGTCGGATGTATGTTCTTATTGCATAGTGTTTGCTCAATATTGTGAATATGGTAAACTTGGTATCTATCTGGTTGCATTCTTTGTCTCTTCACAACACTCTCGATACCATGTGTATCACTTTTGAAACAACTTTCTGACAGCCTAATGTGACACAATATATTTGGAAACATAGCAACTTAGGATAGTAAAATTAAGTAAAGGATAAGTAAAATTTACTTACGTCACTAACTGGTAAAATCTTAGCAACTATATTATGTATGTATATATATATATATATATATATATATATATATATATATAATAATTAATTTTTAGGTTTTTTTGTTCGACGTTGAGTGCTAATTTGCAGCCAATCGTCAAAATAAAAGAAACAATAAATAAAGAACTATTTATTTATACATTTCGACATGGTTGTGTGTCATCATTCAGCAGTTTGAAATTATTACAGTATCACACCAGGAAAAGCAATAACAAAAATTTAAAATATATATATATATGGGTGTGTGTGTGTGTTTGTTTGTTTGTTTGTGTGTTTGTATTTATAATTTTTTCTAAAAGCATAAATATGTTGAATAAATAAATTTAAATTCTTTTATTATTTATTTCCAATTTTCTACATAAATATGTTGTATTCTATTGATTAAATATCTAATTCTATTTATTTCAATTCAAGTTTGATAACTATCATAAGATTTATTAATTATATTATACATAATTTTTATGAAATACAATAAATATTACATTGCTTAATTTTTTAAATTTATTTCATAAATAAACTTTAATACTTTCATCCGTTAAATTTAAATGAATCACTGTCTTATAATTTATTTGACAATTTTAATTAGATCCTATTGAAAACTCCCATGGAGTTAAATTATCTTAACACATACATATTAATTAACCCATTTCCCTAATATTCAATTATCGTGCTAGAAATTTAATAGATGAATATTCAATATTCACAATAAATATAATAAACTAAATTAAATATTATAAATTATAAAATTGTATTGTTTACTTAATTCTAACATATACATTTAATGTAAAATACTATTCATTTGAAATGAATATCGGCTCATATTCCAGATATGAGAACGTCTATATTTAATTATATTTAATAAAATGTATAATGCGTTTTATAAACAATTTACTGATCAGTATAGTTAACCCGTTCACTACGAGCGACGACTATAGACGACACCCGCTTCACGACCGTACGAGTATCGCCTATGGGCGACATCATTGCTTTCCGAGTTAAATTGTTAAGATTTTTAATTTATTATAATTTTTAATTCTTCCGAAGTATCAGTTTTAATTTTTAAATTCATTTTTATTGATATTGATTAGAAAATCTTTAAATATTTTGTGTAACAAAAACTTGGGCGGTTTGCTGCCTCATACAGCAGTGTAGCTCCTGCGGAAAACACTCTCGTAGCGAAATGGTTAAATAAATCTGCGCAATAAATAATTAATACATTTGATTTTTTCCTACTCAAATATAGGAGGTGGGATGATAACACTCTTCTAATCAAGAAGCAAATATAATTTGTACTCTTATTTATTACTGACACGCGCAGTATTGGATTAGTATTATAAAAATAATCTATAATCTATTTACGTATTTCGTGTGAAATGAATATTTCATTTTCTTATTCTCTAAATCAGATCAACATAATGTGTCACGATTTGTGGACTTAATCGTATGTACAACATAAGTTGCTATTTAAAAAAGCAGCAAGTGGAAAGCTATTGCACATATTTTAAATATAAAAAGAAATATTTTGCTGCCATTTTATCTTAACAAATTCATCTAGAAATAATGTTAGTTATCCTAGATATTAAAAGACTAGGCAAATTATGCTTGCCTAAAATTATATAACATAAATGCAATCTGGAACTATGAATAATTTATTAATTTAAAATATTTTATCATAAATACATTTAATATGTTTATACATATACTTAGGTTTGTTAATTTTGATGATGAAACATATTTTGAAAATCGAAATCAAAATTTTTAAAATCAATAAATATTGAAAAATTGTAATGTACATCAAATATTCAACACGAGTCATTAGCATCTATTTATATACATTGAATATTGATGAAATATAAAGTTTATTTTTTTATTCTGTCCTAAATGAAAATCGTTAGTCTTCTAATTTATGTTAAATGTTTTCTAAAAAATTCTCGATAACTTTTGTTGGTTCTTGGTGTGTTTTTGAGATAGACCATTTTTTATCTTCCCGAAGGAGAAGTTTGTTTTCATCAGAAAATCCGATTCGCTAATTTTATGTATTCTCGACGTTTCAAGCCATTCTGAATCGAATGAGATCAAATTTGGAAAAAGTATGTGTGTGTGCGTATGCATCAACAGATTTTTTGCCGTAAATCGCCGTTTTCTCAAAAACGGCTGAATCGATTTCAAAAATTTAAAAGCCACTTGATGTATCTCGATGAGGACTATCGTTTGTCAGTTTTGTGCGATGATCGGCCGAGACGTTTCTTTATAAATAGCAGAAAAGTGAAAAAATCTTCGTCCACGTTTTAGCCCGCAATTCTGAATCGATTATGAAAATTCAAAAACCGTTCGAAAGATATTGGTTGGGAATCGTGCTGATTAGTTTTTGGTAAAGATCGGTCGGGCCGTTTTCTTGTAATAAAGTGTTAAAAAAAATTTTTTCGACGATTTTTATTATTATTTTTTTGACGGTAGATACCATAGTCTTCTATATCATACTAAAATATTACGGTCCTACGACAATTGGTTTAACTTTAAAATGGTATTGTCTTTTTTGGCATTTGTCAAAATTAGTAATTTCATCGACGTTTATTCAAATACACCTGAACCGATTTCAGAAATTTAAAAGCCATTTGATGTATCTCGATGAGGACTATTGTTTGTCAATTCTGTGCGACGATCTGCCAAGCCGTTTCTTTGCAATTTGGAAAAAAGTGTTAAACTTTTTGTCCACATTTAAGCTCATACTACCGAATCGATTTAAAAAAATCAAAAACTGTTCAAGAGACATTAGTTGGGATTGATACAGATTAGTTTTAGGTGAAAATCTACCGAGCCGTTTTCTTGTAATTAACTGTTGAAAAAAAAAAATTAAGCCGATTTTTATGGAACTTTTTTTGGCGATATATACTATGGTCTTATAGAACTTACTATATGGCTTGTTGGAGTCATGTAACAGAGAAAGCTCAGAACTTTTTATTTCATCGTATAACTATGGTAATTTATATATTGAAAATCATACTGTATCATATATTTATGTGCCATTTCATGCCTATACATTTGGAGCAGCGTTGTAGGCGCCACACTTTGAAGATTTCTATTTTTTTTTTTTTTTTTGAACTGGATGAAGTAGAAGATTTTAGAATTGTAGACCTTTGTTACAATGGTGGAATAGGTCATTGTTCTGTATAAACAATAATCTTTGCTCATTGTTTTGTATAAACAGATCGCAGAATAAAATAATTAAAAAAACGTTATATAATATTGGTATATGATTATTATCTGATAAAAGTTTAAATATGTTATGAATTGAGCTACAAAAACTATGTTATAAAACATTTAGGTATATACAAAGCGTGTAAAAACTTACCCCAATGACTATAGGAAACGCAGACATTTGCTAATTATTTCTGATTATTTTTGCTTCTTAAAACTTAGCTGTCGTTTCTATCACTTTACTGTAATAAAATATATAATATGTCAATGATTTCAAATCAAATTTATTTTTTCATGGTATAAGTAGAACGAAATAATAGAGAATGAGAATTAAATCTGTTATACATTATTTGCTAGATGAATTTGTTAAGATACAACGGTAGCAAAATATTTGTTTGTATGTTTTTAATGTGCAATAGTTTTATTTTTGCTTCCTTTTTATGAATAGCATAACTTATGTTGAACCTAGGAATAACGTCCATAAATTATAACAAATTATGTTGATTTGATTTAGAGAATAAGAAAATGAAATATTCATTTTACAACTTAAACAAATAACGTTTATATTAGCAGATTATAATTGCCATGCTAACAATATTGGATCATCATTCACTGACTGAAAGCGGGATGAAAAATGATTAGGTTACTAAAATGATTATTTCAAAGAAGAGCGGAAGAGTGATAAATTAGGTCAAAAAATTAAAAAAAAAAAAAAAGATGAATACCACCACGTGGATTTAGCCGATTCTCAGTACTAATGAATGTAACTATAATTTAATTTATATTATATTTAAAAAAAAAATGAAAGTAATTGGTTCAAAAAATAAAAAAAGTCTTAGAAGTGAATAACCTTTACCACGAAAATAGATGTTAGCCGATTCCAAGTCTTTCTGAATGTAGGTACATAATTTCATAAAAATCGGTCAAGCCATTTCGGAGGAGTATAACAAATAAACCATGACCCGATAATGGTTATATATATATATATATATATATATATATAAAATAAAATAAAATAAAATAATGGGTAGTACTGCCCTAGGGCAGGTCCGTGAGCTGAGTTAAACTCCAACTCGACTCAGGGAAGTATAAAACATATATATTTGTGTTCGACTATTCGTTATGTCATGTTCACTCTTAATGGTCTTTTTATTTTCAAAACTTAGTTCGATTTTATACGCCTTCAAATGTATGAAAGCTTCTCAATTATGTCTCACTGAAATGTTAAATACTTCTACATAAAGTTTGCTGTTATTAAACCATTGAATATTTTTAATTAATAATAAGTGTGTGATTATATTACTTTGTGGGTACTTCTTCAGGCATATGATTGATAAGTTCCGTAATTTTGTGGTCTTATAAATCCAAATATTGAAGCAGATTTCAATCAAACAGGAACAAAATTATTGAATTATTTAAATCATTTATTGGCACTGAGATATCAGCTTTAATGATTTGGGTCAGATAATGTGTGAAGTTATTGAAGGTTGATTTAAGATTGAAATATACTAGTTATTTTTGAATAATTTTTTTAAATGGTTAAATTTTGGGGTTAATAACGTCCGCCCATTACACTTATTCTATAAGACTATGTTAAAAACATAATGCCTAGGGCAGGTTTATGAGCTGGGTTAAAATTCCAACTCGTGAAAGGTTTTCCGTTCCAACTCGAAAAATAGCGTGAAAGGTTTCCCGTTGCTCTTTCATACCGCAGTGCCCAAAATCGGCCATTTTCAATTGGAAACATATTTTTGATCTGTATTTTGAAGTGAAAATGAACATCACTGCAGCATGATGTCAGGTTGTAGAGTGGTATTTGAACTCACGGTTTTGAGTACACGACTTCGTGCGGTTGATCATTGCGCCTTGGAGTACCCTATTGCAATGGGAAATCTCCCACACTATTCTTCCCTGAATCGACCATGGAGTTTAACTCAGGTCACTGACTTGCTCTAGGTCAGTACTACTAAAGTGACCAAATTTTTTTTTTTGGCAATTTTTAGTTATGTTAATCCGGTTATGCTAATAACAAGTGCTATTTATATGTTTTTTTTTTATATGAATCTTTTTTTTGAGTCAGAATTGCGGACTTTTGTAATAAGTTTTTATCTATGTTTATAATATATCTTATAATTACGATCTATATGTTCTATCTAATTTCTTCATAATTAATTGGAAAAATTTAGCATTTGTTCGTTTGTTTTCATAATGTTTGTTAATTTAACTAATAATTTTTGAAAAAAACTGGGCTTATCCGGGACAAAAAGTCTAAACCCGGGACACAAGGTGGAAATCCGGGACTGTCCCGGCCAAACCGGGGCGTATGGTCACCTTAGCACTCAAGCTACACATTACTTTGTGTTACGACTCGATTTTATAATGATCGATATTTTCTATAGCAGAATATCTGGAGATAATGTATAAAATTTTTATGTAAAATATAAACTAGCTGTAAGTCTAATTCTGTCTTGAGGCAATTATGGCATCGTGCCTTAAGGCAAATTGCTGGAACTTCCCGTACCGTAACGAAATGTTTGAGTAATACTGAATGTTTTCAAATAGACTATTATAAAATATTGTAACATTGTCTAATATTTATAAGAATTATATAAACTGAATTGCAGAGTTGAAATTATTTGTAAAGTATATAGAACTATAGTCAGAATTAAAAATAAAATCTGAAATATTTTCGAAGTACAAAAAACTAAAAAAAAAAAAAAAAAAAAATGGAACAAAATTTTTTTTTTCCAAAATCAATTATTTTGTTAAGACAAGCAGAAAGTTCTTTGATTCATTTAAATCGGACGTTTGGTTCTCTCAAGAACTGCCATTTTTTACATATTTAGCTCCGTATCTTCAAAATGGCTGGGCCTGCCTTTGCCAAAATCTAATAAACACTTCTCCCAGTCATTACTAATTGAATGTTTTTTAGATCATTCAAATCGGATACTCCGTTTTCTCAAAAAGTCGATTTCTATTTCCTGCACTCTTTGCTCCGTATCTCCGAAATGGCTGGACCTGCCTTTGCCAAAAACTAATCAGCTCTTTTCCCTATCAATAGAAATCGAATGTTTTTTGAACCATTCAAATCGGTTGATCCGTGCGCCCTAAAACGTGACTGGAAATTTGTATCCATACATACATACACACACACACACATTCATTTTTTCTGAGGTATGCCAAAATGTTCAGAAACCTTCAAAACGTCGAGAAATGTAAAAATTTTCAATTCCGATTTTCAGCCCATTACAATAACTTACCCTACGGGAAGTTAAAAAGGCTTATATTTTTGAAACCACAATAATTTAAGCAAAGTGTGCAAATTAAAAACCGCACGTAAGGTAAATACTCGGTATACTGCATGGATATTTACACATGTACATCTATTTATCTCTAAATACTAATTATTTTAATCGATCACAATTTTTCGTGTTAAAATTTCAATCATTATATGTTAAAAACTTCGGGTTATATAAGCTATCATTAAAAGTTTATTTCACATAGAATCACTGATACGCCTCTGACCTTAAGTCTGCAAAGAAAGGCGGGTCATAAGTTAAAAAGAGAAGGTAAGAACAGCAGCAGATACGTGACCTCATCCACAACATAATAGTATGCGTTTAAAGTAGCTACGATTAAACATATACATACATAGATGATTTGCATCTTGAGAACAACATCTATATCATTAAATTGTTTATAAACTTTTAAGATATTGAAATGCATTATATATCTGTTTTTTTACTGTATATCATTATCAAATCTGATCGTGAGAATGTAACTTTTTATTTAAACAATATTCCGAACAAACAAAATTAGCCAAATATTTAGCATAAGTTTTCAGTTGAAGTCAATAATATTATCAACTAATGAAATAACTCATATAATTTTTGTTACAGACTGGTTTTAAAATTGGAACACATACGGTTTGTTTGTGGTAAAGTGGATGAAGCAAGAAAAAAAAGAAAAAATGAAGCAAGGGTATAATCAGAGGATAGCAGTTGAAGAAGAAGACTCTTGGTAACATTTGACGACGATATGTCCGTATACAGGTTCATAATTATAATATTATGTACACCCACACACATATATATATATATATATATATATATATATATATATGTGTGTGTGTTTATTTATATATTAGGTTGTCAAATATCTCCCTTCCGCCTTTTTGTATTATAAACCAAGAGCAAAAAAGCGGAAGGGAGATATTTGACAACTTATTATTATGTTACAATTTAAATTTTGCATTTTCAACTAATTGTTGGTAACTAAAATTCTAATTAGGAACTTCAAATTTTTTATTTCAACTTTTAAAAACTAACTTAAATTATAATAACGATCTATTCTATCTATCTACTATAGTAATCAGTGGTACGTGATTCATTTAGTTTCACGCTTATTTATTTCCCGGCTTTCCACTATAAATTAAATCAATAATACAACTAAATATGCATACCTGGAGTTAATTGATGCTGTGCAGGAATACTCATATGTCCTGGGTAATAGGCAGTCGATGCATAGGCAGATCCCGAATGTTGTGATCCGCCTGATTTTGGTACATCGAAGGAAAGCTCGTATTGCAACTTATTTTGTACAGAGTAGAAACTATACAGCCAACCATTCAGGCGCAAAACTGCCGCTTCTCGATCACTATCAATATATAAATACTTATTGTTATGATATACGCAAAATATTTTTGAAAAATGTTGATATCCATATTTTATCTTGTCCAAATTCAATCAAACCAGGGATGCATGACATTGTAATTTGATGAAATTACTGCTTTTTCCCGTTGTATAAATAAATATCACATAATTATTGGACTGTCCAAATAAATATTAGGCGAACACGATTATTGTACTAATTATATTAAAACTGCCTCCCCTGATCTCGGTTCTACTAATAATTCCATCCAAGTACTATTTTTTAATTAAGCATTATCTGCCGTTTTACACGAATTTTAAAAAGTATACACTATACACTTATTATAGCCCACGTATCTTTCACGTCACAATCCAAATTTTTCGAAATTTTACCAAATAATTATGGCTTGTTTTACAAAGTGACGCATTAATCTTAATTCTATAATGTCGTCAAGACAACCAATGCTAATTTTGATGACCTTTGCTGCGCTTTTTAATTTGAAATAAGATTTTCATAAACAGAAGCGCGAATTAAATAGGCCACCGTGACTTTAAATTCCCATAATTAATACCACAAACAATGTTTAAACTGTTTTTTTTAATTATTATAACAACTGATTTTTGTTTCCCTAATTTTTTTGATGTGCTCATGAAACCAAAATTCAGCCCATAGTGGTGTAATGTTAATATCGTCTCAAAATGAAAATGTCAGCAGAAAAGAAGATAAGTGCAATCGTTGCATTTTATGATTATTGTTGTTGCTCGTCCCGCCATTTTATCTTTTTTCTATGATGAAGGTCTGTAGAAGGCACTATTTTACCAATATGCATTCGATTATTTCCTTATCGCATCCAGTAGTTAACCAATGTTCCATTTAATAATCAATGTTCCCGCGTTCAGCATTCTAATTTACGATATATAATATTATAAAATCAAAAATAGTTTAAATCCAAAATTTATGGATTTTGGAGTTTAAACCTAACTGCTGTCAATTATATCATGCTGATTAGATTTATAGCAATATTTTTAACTTCCCAAAGGAGAAGTTTATACTTGCATCAAAAAATCCGATTCGCTAATTTTGTTTTCTTGACGTTTCAAGCCATTCTGAATCGAATGAGACCAAATTTGGAAAAGATTTTTTGCCGTAAATCGACGTTTTCTCAAAAACGACTGGACCGATTTCTAAAATTTAAAAGCCATTGGATTTATCTCGATGAGGACTAGCGTTTATCAATTTTGCGCGACGATCAGCCAAGCCGTTTCTTTGTAAATAGCAGAAATATGAAAAATTTTTCGTCCACGTTTCAGCCCGCAATTCTGAATCAATTTTGAAAATTCAAAAACCGTTCGAAAGATATTGATTGGGAATCGACCTGATTAGTTTTTGGTAAAGATCGGCCGGGCTGTTTTCTTGTAATAAAGTGTTAAAAAAAAATTTCGACTATGTTTATTATTATTTTTTTAGACGGTAGATACCATAGTCTTATAGAGCATACTAAAATATTAGGGCCTTCGACAAGTCGTTTAATTTTAAAAATTCTTCGAAGTTTGCAAAAGTTAGTATCGTTTTTTGGCATTTGCCAAAATTAGACCTTTCATCGATGTTTGTTTAAAAACGTCTGAACCGATTTCAGAAATTTAAAAACCATTCGATGTATCCCAATGAGTACTATCGTTTGTCAGTTTTGTGCGACGATCTGCCAAGCCGTTTCTTTGTAGTTTGAAAAAAAAGTGTTAAACTTTTCGTCCAGATTTAGGCTTATACTACCGAATCAATTTAAAAAAAATCAAAACTGTTCGAAAGATATTAATTGGGAATGATACTGATTAGTCTTGGGTGAAAATCTACCGAGCCGTTCTTGTAATTAATTGTTGAAAAAAACTTTTTTTGGCAATATATATCATGGTCTTATAGAACTTACTGAAATATTACGGCCTTACGACAAGTAACTTAATTTTAAAAATTCATCAAACTTAGAGAAAATGAGTAGTTTTTTTTGACGTTTTTTAAAATTAACATTAGACGATTTACTTGGTATAACGATAGAGTAGTGTTCGTTCATTTTCAATGATATGTGATAAATCGATTCAAAATACTTTTAATCACTCATAAATTAATTTATATTTTATTGATTAAGCCGATCATTTACACATATCGGAAAGTTCATGTAACTTGCCTCAAGGCAAAATACCAATACCAACTAATTATAAATATTTGTGTATATATTATACATAGATAAATAAGTGATATTATAGTATTTTGGTATAAACCATATAAAATATATATTATATGTGGTGATAATTCTATGCATTTTTTCGGAAATGGTTGAATATAGGTGGCTTTTATGATGATTTACCTTAGAACTTGATTCGTGCAGACTATGACCGGCTGCTGCGCGCTGTCAGCCCCGTCTTTAACCTGAAGAACGCAATGCACCCACAACCAGTCGCCCGTGCGCCTCTGCATCCGTAGCAGCAGAATACACGATCGATCCTGTTCCGACTGCGTTACTAATAATAAAATATAAAATTAAAGAATTATTATTACGAATTATATATTATATTATATAAGAAATATTTCTACACTGCGGATGCATGATGTGTGCAAACAAAAGAATCTAATTTTCATGATAGTTGAAAATCTACTTACAGCAACATTATTTGATAAATCAGGTGTGTTCAAATTAAATATGTATAAGGGCATTTGATACTCTTAAATGTGCAATAATTATAAGAAAGCACTTCCTACCATATATTTTCGTGACCTACATTCCCACCGCGGTCTATGAGGCCGCGCTGCAATGAAAGCTATGACAAATGTAAAACATACAAATAAATTAATATCTGATTTATAACATATCTTTTTTGTGGTATTGGAATAACAACATATAGTTAGAATCTATATTTGTTCGTAAAAAACGCTAATTATTTTGTGAGATCATGAGCAATTTCATAGTTAGTTACTTAGAGCAGATAGGGTAGAGCGGGGCTTCCGCGGGTAAAAAAGGTCCGCGGGTAAAAAGGTCCACCGCCGATAACTCAAAAACCAGTGAAACTGAGAAACTGAGAATTTAACAACAATGTTTGAAGAAGAGAGACACACATTTTCACAATGATATTTGTTTAATATTTATTTTTGGGATGTAATTGGTTTGGTTTTTACAATATAATTGCTCAAAGTCAAATTGAACCTTTGTGTCTCGCCCTACCCTAATTTATTTCAGATGAAACTATATATGATGAAACATATACAAATATAGTTAAACGAAGTAATTATAAAATGCTATTATCGTACATGCTCTTTTCTACATTGCAATAGGCGTTGCAATATCAATATGTTTAACTAATTGAAATTTGGTATAATGTTAGTCTTATATATATATATATATATATATATATATATATATATATATTTCAAAGTAACTAGCAGCCCATTCGTCGAAATAAAAAAGGTATAAAGTATAAAAACTTTTATTTATACGTTTCGACACAAGATGCGTGTCATCATTCAGCAACACAGGACAAAAACACTCAACAAAAATTTATTTTAAAAAATTAAACTTAATAACATATTAGAGAAAAAAACATTTTTTAGAAAAAATTATGAATAACTAAAAGATTTGAAAACTAATTTGACTAAAAGTTATGAAATACATCATTGTGAAGCGAGAAACACGCCCATACCGAGCATCTAGATTCGACTGAATTGACTGAATTTTTTTTAAAAAATGTTTTTTTCTCTAATATGTTATTAAGTTTAATTTTTTAAAATAAATTTTTGTTGAGTGTTTTTGTCCTGTGTTGCTGAATGATGACACGCATCTTGTGTCGAAACGTATAAATAAAAGTTTTTATACTTTATACCTTTTTTATTTCGACGAATGGGCTGCTAGTTACTTTGAAATATGTTTCAACGTCGAAAAAACTATCAAGATATATATATATATATATATATATATATATAATATGAGTGATATTTAGCTTACTCAATCTATGCTTCGACTGCGCTTCTCTGGCGATTTCCCAATGAAGTAGTTGATACCATGATGCTCCTTGCAGTTCACTTCTTGTGAATCCCAAATAGAATTCACCACTATTCACAAAATATCAATATACATATCGACGTACTTTATATATTTTCAAATGTTATATTAAAAATATTTATATAAAAATCTAACACGTCACAAATATCTTTCATCATTTAGCTATTAATATTTATAAAAAAGCAGTCTTTGTTTCGAACATTGTTTGTTTGTAATATAAATAATTTAATTCACTGTGTTAAATAAAAATATTTGAACAGATAAAAATCCAGAAATTTAATATTTGTTGAAAATATTTTTAATAGGTGAAAAAAGGTTATTTTAATTTTTGAATTATCTTCATTTTATATAGGTAATAGGTAAATTAAAAACTTATTTTTAGCTTCGAATTAATAATAAATAATTCAATTAATTTAATGATAGTGCAAAATCCTAAACAGTATAAAAAAAACAAATTTTTGACAGCAGGAATAAGTTAATAAAAGCGAATGTTTTCTTGAGAAATCTCGATCTTCTGCCGCCACTTTTTCACACCGTTACCAATAATTCTAATCGGTTAATCCGTTCTCTTAAACCGAGCGGGCGTTTTTCTTCGCTATCTCCGAAGTATGATATACGGTCAGACCTGCCTTTTTCGAACACTAACTCTTCACACTATCAGTATGAGTTTAATGTGGATGTTCCCGCGAAAACATGGACGAAAAATTGTGTTCGATCAAGCATACATGCATTTTTACAAGATGTTCCAAAATTTTCAGAAAATGTTTAAATGTGGCTAATCAAAAATTGTTTAAATATTTTTTTTATCATTTGTATAACTTTTCTACGGCAAGTTAATAAAGCATTACAATAATTAAATGTTCTTTTGTTATTGTTATAAATCCACAATTATCATAATTCGTGATCGTGTGAATCTTTTTTTTTAAGTTCGGTAACGCGCTGTTAAATTTTGAAACTCGGTCTCAACAATGATTGTTATAGTAAAATGTTTAATCAAATGATAGTTTTTAATTAATCAAAATAAGATTCAGATACATCAAACGAAAACATGTATGATATAAATACAATTAACACGTTCCAGTAAGGTACAAAAAATGCTAGTCATTTTAATTTTAAATTGGCTGTTATATCCCAACTGTGATTAAACACCATTTGTAAGGGTAGACAGATTATAATCTAACTATTATAATCTGATTACTATAACTAAGGGTATAGTATTATATATAACGATAAAATTTTAATTTCATTTAATTATCATTATCATTATCAAGGTTGTCAAATATCTCCCTTCCGCCTTTTTGTATTATAAACCAAGAGCAAAAAAGCGGAAGGGAGATATTTGACAACCTAATATTTTAATCGTTATACGATGAATGCTATAGTATTCATGTCAATCTCCATCGCAATGAAAATGAATGCTATAGCATTCCCGTCCGTGTATGTGTTAATCTATGATAATTTTAAAAATATAATTTATATTTTAATTTATATGAAAGAATAATATGTTGAGACTGAAAATATAGATTTTATATGTTTGTCAAAGTTGTAGAAATGTAGAAATGCATATTAATAAATTCTAATTTTCAAACTATTTTAATCAGTCATAAACATATAAAAATTATAATAATTATTTAGACGACTCATATGTAGAGTTTGTATTGTAAAGAATAGGACACTTCAAACTTCATCATGCGAAAGTATATCAAGAAATTGACATACAACGATGTATACAAAATCAACGAGATCTCTATCGAATCGCTTACGTTTAGCAATCAATCGTTACAGACGGAATGCCGGTACAGGTATTTCCTACTGTGTCTATTTTTTTTATTTTGTAACTGAGATATCCTAGAGATTACGTCGAGAAATAATATTAGATTGGGGAAAAATAATCAATTACTTTTTAAAACCAGCTTTATGCAAATAGCATAAGACTGTTTTATGCTTAACATTATCGAAGAAGAATCCATGAAAGAATTCTCTTTCTGTGGACTTTCATTATTAACACCTTGCAGCTCATAACTGAATGGACCATACAAATTCAGCAAATGAATTTAGTGCGCAAAATGTCACCTTGAAATCGGGTATAAATTTAAAACTGTTAAATCGATACTTGATGGTTCTATTCTTCTCCAAGTGTAAATTTATTATTATTCTTTACAATATATATGCCGTCGACCTTAGGTACGTTTTGAACTTGAGTGAAAAATTAACAGATCACATGCGTTCTCCCATTCGATCAGGACATAAATATATATTTGTATCATTATGATTGAACGTTAATTTTGTTAAACTTACTTTTTATCTACGTGAAGCACTTTCATATCCATTGTATGTATTGTAGTAAATACGTTTGTAGCGCCATGTACTACACATTCCCTAGTCTCCGGCATGGCAACAGGCGAACAAGTGGCTAAAAACACGGGTTCGTTTCTACTACACAAAGACAGAAACGATAAAAAGTGCCCTTGTACTAGAACTATCTGCAAATAAAAAAGTCATAGCTTTATTTTATATTAATTCATGCATTGCCCCAATAAATCCAATAATGTTCGTTTAAGGAGCACAACTAGTGTGAAATTTTGAAAAAATCGATTTTTGTTCTTTTTATATTTCGGTAGATTACACCTTTAAAAATAACATATTAAAATTTCAAATCGATATCTCAAATAGTTTTTGAGTTACAGCCATTTAAAAAGTATACATATAGCATATAGTACAACGATCATTTTATCTTTAAACGCGTTTTTCTCGAAACAGCATTTTCCGAATTTGCTGCAGTGATTACTCAAAAACGAATGATCCGATCAATATCAAATTTTTTTTACATGTTCTGTATATAGTTCTTCGTAAAATGAACTATCGATTTTTTGATCGGATCAAAAATCGAAATTTGGCAGTCGAAAAACGACAAAATTTTGGGTAAAATTCGACTTTTTTTTAAAAACGCCGCCATTTTGTCAATTTTTGATTAATTTTTTTTTATCGTACTTCATTTTACAGACAATATTATCTAGCTTAACGAGATTTTTTTTTTTTATTTCATCCACGTAGAAGGCCGGAATCACAGCAGCAGTTAAGGGCCTTTTTTTGTCGCGCCGTTGAAGATCGACGATAACTTAAAAAATATTTAATTTTTTTCTTCAAAAAAATTTACTATGTATTCTTAAAGCATGTATAAATATATTTCTAAAATTTTGAAATGATTGATAGAGTAGTTTTTTTAATATAAATTCCCAAAAATCACCTTTTTTTAGGCGGTTACACTAGTTGTGCCCCTTATAAATTTTCTATTGGTTTTATATATCTCAAATTCGAATAATCGCTACGAAATCATTATTTAAGTATCTGGTCTTTCTTTTTTATTTAAAACATTTTTATATTCTTACTTTTTGATCCCCGAATCTCATTTGCCGTCTTGCGTTCCTAGATACATTCATTCTACATAGAAACATCTTTCGCTCGCCTTCCGCTATGCTGCCCGGTCTATGCCCGGAGTTTGGCGAACTAACGCGCTCCTGGCCAGGCAAAATGCCCGGATTACTTTGCGTCTGGGCCAGTGCACTGTGCCCTAATTCCGCCTGAATCATCTGATGGTCCTGTTTATCTATAATATCGTAAACGCTGTCTCCGTGTATAAGTAAATCCTCCTGCAATAGAAGAATGCGCAATAGTTTGTTAAAGTGGTTTTAATAACTCGTTTTTTTAAAGACTAATTTTTGATTTCCCGTAGGGTAAGTTATTGTAATGGGCCGAAAATCGGAATTGAAAATTTTTACATTTCTCGACATTTTGAAGGTTTCTGAACATTTTGGCATACCTCAGAAAAAATGGATGTGTGTGTGTGTGTGTGTATGGATACAAATTTCCAGTCACGTTTTAGGGCGCACGGATCAACCGATTTGAATGGTTCAAAAAACATTCGATTCCTATTGATAGGGAAAAGAGCTGATTAGTTTTTGGCAAAGGCAGGCCCAGCCATTTCGAAGATACGGAGCTAAATATGTAAAAAATGGCAGTTTTTGAGAGAACTAAGCGTCCGATTTAAATGATTCAAAAAACTTTCTGCTTGTCTTAACAAAATAATTGATTTTGGAAAAAAAATTTTGTTGCGATTTTTTTTTTTTAGATTTTTGTATACGAAAATTTCATATTTTATTTTTAATTCTGACTATAGTTTTAATATACTTTACAAATAATTTCAACTCTGCAATTCAGTTTATATAATTCTTATAAATATTAGACAATGCTACAATATTTATAATAATCTATTTGAAAACATTCAGTATTCCTCGAACATTTCGTTACGGTACGGGAAGTTCCAGCAATTTGCCTTAAGGCACGATGCCATAATTGCCTCAAGACAGAATTCCACTTACAGCTAGTTGATATTGATATACAGTGGGTGGTACCCCGGCATACGAATTTAATTCGTTCCAAACTACGCTCGTATGTCGAAGCAATTTTTCTCATGTAAATACTTTGAGATGCCATTAATTCTTTCCATCATAGTGTTTTTTAACTTCCCGTAGGGTAAGTTATAGTAATCGCAAAAAAATCGAAAATAAAAATTTTTATATATCTTTACGTTTCAAAACCTTCTGAACATTCTGGCATACCTTAGAAAAAATTGATATATGTGTGTGTGTGTATGTGTGTGTATGTGCATGTATGTGTGTGTGTGCGAATACAAATTTTTTTGTCGACGATTTCGGGAACACGGATGAAGCGATTTGAATAATTCAAAAAACATTCGATTCGTATTGATAAGGAGACGTGCTGATTAGTTTTTGGCGAAGGCAGGTCTATCCGTTCCAAAGATATGGGGCAAAAAGTGCCAAAAACGGTAACTCAGTTTTTAAGAGAACGGAGCATTCGATTTGAATAATTCAAAAAACATTTTACTTGTATTGACAAGTTGAAGAACTGATTTTCATGAAGGCAGGTCTAGCGGTTTTGGAGATCTAGTAAAAAAAGTAAAAAATAATGCCATTTGGCGGTCAGAAATGATCATTAGACATATGCACATCAAATTACCAGAAATTTTATAGAGATTTTAACAATATTAATAAATTTTGTTTACAATCCTATGGGCTCCGTATCAATGTTTATCCGTTGGACGGCGACGCGGCGCTTACGCGCTTCGATATTTTGTCTCTATGCAGTTAAAGCAGTACGATTGCTTTGAAAAAAAGTTCAGAATTTCCAAAACACTTCAAAATAAATTTTTCTTCAAAAAGTCTATTTTTTTCAAAAAAAGTTAATTTTTGTCAAAAATTTATAGTTTCTCAAAAATCTAATTTTTTCAGAGTAATTTTTTTTCAAAAATGTTAATCTTTTTAAAAACAATTTTTTTTTGGTACGGGAAGTTCCAGCAATTTGCCTTAAGGCACGATGCCATGCGCCCCACTAGTTGGTTTTTTAAATATTTGTTTTCTTGTCATTCATCATGATATTGCAGAAATGAGTTAGACATGTCGTTCCAACAACTTCTATTCTCGAGTTGCCCTAATGCAACTTTTTCGGGGTGATTTTTATCCACAAAGTTTTAGATCTTAAACAGCTTCTTATGAATTATTGTACTGAATTATTGTAACTCTTTCTGTTTAAACACAGTACATATCTATGATGTGTTACACTCGTACATCTTTGCTTTCCTCATATTTTTCAATAATTTCACTTTAATTCAATAGACAATGCCCTTTTCTTTGGACCCATGGTTATAAAAGTGATTAAATTTTTCTAATTGTACAAAAAACGCGAACACACTTATATTAGTGTACAATCACTATTAATGTATGGTCAAAATTTGAAACATTAATATAATCCTCAATTTATTCGCGTGGGTAAATCGTTATTACACAACTGACGATTTTTTCATATTTTCACTTTGCTATTAACATTTTTTTAGAAAACTCGCTCAAATCTCGTATCTCAAATTTTGCTCGTAGGTCGAACAAACGAATTGCTTCTTTGGCGGCTTGTACCTCAAACGCAAAACCCTCGTAAGTCGGGGTACCACTGCATTTTTAAATTATAATTCAAATATTGAACGATTGATAATATCATTTATTTAATATTAAATTTAGCTAGACCAGCTTTTCTATATGTATCGACCCACACAGATAAATTTTATGCGTACAATCTATATCATTCGGGCTGTAATATTAAAAAACCTTCCCTTGCGCTGTAGCGGATTATTTTAAAGTTTTTGTAAAGCCTGTACACCAGCGAATCACAAGAGAAATAATATATTCTATTCCTAAATTATATATGTATATATATTTCTAAATAAAATTGAAGTCTCACCATCGAATGTCCCAGATATTCCGCTGCGTTGTCCGATATATAGAGAAGTTTCCCATTTTGTGTCATCATCATTAAAAATCCACTCAGTGCCTAAGGCAGAGAAAATGGGTTACAAGTTAACTAAACTTCTGTAAAGTTTGATAGTTTTGTGAAAATATTGTTTGAGCTATTTGAAGTAATTTTGTTTAAAGTTTAAAGTGAACACTTTTACAATTCAATTGAGATGAATCTAAAAATCCATTATGGCTATATAAACGTTTTATACATATTTATACTAATATACAAAAATGTTTGTTATTCAAAATCATACCTTCAATGTAACTGGATATGTAGCGCTATTATTAAAAAAGAATCATTGAATTTTGAAATGTATAAAATGATATTTTGCATTATATATATATATATATATATATATATACATTTATCTTGTCATCTACTTTGATAATACATCTTCAGACAAAGAAGTTTTGATTTAAAAAATTTGAATAAATCTTAATTATCTGATTTGCTGATTTTTTCTGAACTAAATTTTCTTGCTATATATGAATTAGGTAATTTACATTAGTATAAAAATTACGGTATGGACTTCTATTAAACATGACTTCGTGAAAATTGTACTTACAATTTGTATAAAAACAATAATACTTACTTTTGAAAATCCGATATTGTGAGTGGTAGAATTGTGTGTTCCAACATCGTATCTTTGGAAAACTGAAACATAAAATACATTATTAACAAATAACTACTTTTTTTCTTAAATTTGTATACTAAAATGCTACGATTAGAAATTATAGCTCGTATACTGCTCAATTCTTGAACCGATATAATTTTCGAGCAGTATTCATGCTTTAAAACCTTAATATAATTGTTTCTGTCATGGTGTTTACTAATGTCGTTTTTAAACATGATTGTGCTCAAGTATAAACATGTTTATCATAGTGGACATTACTGTAAATAAACAGTTTCGCATTGTATGATCTTCGGTCTAATTAGATACGGCAGTGTCAAATTAACAAAATTCCTTTTAAAGGAAATCATGAAACCAATTGCAAGGAACGTTAAAGAATTTATAAATGAATTGCTTGTTATTAAAAAAAGCGAAATCGATTGTTTTCAAAAATAATATAAATTATTATAAATTAGATCTAAAAATCAATTTCTGGTACCAATTAACACCAGCAGTGGTACAGAAAAATTTGACAGCTTTATAGCCCCAATTTAAATTATTTATTTTTTAAGTTGTAGGATTTAGGACGATTTCTGTTTTCATTACACAAAATAGAGACGATCAAAAATTCAAAATATGTGCCGTCTACAACCTCAGGACGGTAGTGACATGCATAAAATTTAAACTAGTTGGTTTGGTATTTAGCCTTGAGGCAAGTTACATGAACTTCCCGAAATGTGTAAATAATCGACTTAAATGTGTAAATAATATACTTCATTAATCCTACTTTAAAAAAAAACGATAATAATTTTAGTAAACTTTGACGAATTTTTTAAAATTAAACTACTTGTTGTAAGGCCGTAATATTACAGTAAGTTCTATAAGACCATGATGTATATCGCCAAAAAAAGTTCCATGAAAAACGGCTTAATTTTTTTTTAACAGTTAATTACAAGAAAACGGCTCGGTAGATTTTCACCTAAAGTTAATCAGCATCATTCCCAACTAATATCTTTCGAACAGTTTTTGATATTTTAAATCGGTTCGGTAGGATGAGCTTAAATGTCGACGAAAATTTAACACTTTTTTTCAACAGTTAATTACAAGAAAACGGCTCGGTAGATTTTCACCTAAAATTAATCAGCATCATTCCCAACTAATATCTTTCGAACAGTTTTTGATATTTTAAAATCGGTTCGGTAGGATGAGCTTAAATGTCGACGAAAATTTAACACTTTTTTCAACAGTTAATTACAAGAAAATGGCTCGCTAGATTTTCACCTAAAATTAATCAGTACCATTCCCAACTAATATCTTTCGAACAGTTTTTGATATTTTAAAATCGGTTCGATAGGATGAGCTTAAATGTCGACGAAAATTTAACACTTTTTTTCAACAGTTAATTACAAGAAAACGGCTCGGTAGATTTTCACCTAAAATTAATCAGCATCATTCCCAACTAATATCTTTCGAACAGTTTTTGATTTTTCAAAATCGGTTCGGTAGGATGAGCTTAAATGTCGACGAAAATTTAACACTTTTTTTCAACAGTTAATTACAAGAAAACGGCTCGGTAGATTTTCACCTAAAATTAATCAGCATCATTCCCAACTAATATCTTTCGAACAGTTTTTGATATTTCAAAATCGGTTCGGTAGGATGAGCTTAAATGTCGACGAAAATTTAACACTTTTTTTCAACAGTTAATTACAAGAAAACGGCTCGGTAGATTTTCACCTAAAATTAATCAGTATCATTCCCAACTAATATCTTTCGAACAGTTTTTGATTTTTTAAAATCGGTTCGGTAGGATGAGCTTAAATGTCGACGAAAATTTAACACTTTTTTTCAACAGTTAATTACAAGAAAACGGCTCGGTAGATTTTCACCTAAAATTAATCAGCATCATTCCCAACTAATATCTTTCGAACAGTTTTTGATATTTTAAAATCGGTTCGGTAGGATGAGCTTAATGTCTACGAAAATTTAACACTTTTTTTCAACAGTTAATTACAAGAAAACGGCTCGGTAGATTTTCACCTAAAATTAATCAGTATCATTCCCAACTAATATCTTTCGAACAGTTTTTGATTTTTTAAAATCGGTTCGGTAGGATGAGCTTAAATATGTACGAAAAGTTTTTTCGAATTACAAAGAAACGGCTTGTCAGATCGTTGCACAAGACTGACAAACGATAGTCCTCACCGAAATACATCAAATGGCTTTTAAATTTCTAAAATCGGTTCAGGCGTTTTTGAGAAAACGTCGATCAAAAGTCTAATTTTGACAAATGCCAAAAAGACCATACTGATTTTTGCAAACTTTGACGAATTTTTAAAGCTGAACCAGTTGTCGTAGCGCCGTAATATTTTAGTATGATCTAGAAGACTATGGTATCTATCGTCAAAAAAATAATCATAAAAATCGTCGAAATTTTTTTTTTAAAAAACTTTATTACAAGAAAACGGCCGGCCGATCTCTACCAAAAACTAATCAGCACGAATCCCAACCAATATCTTTCGAACGGTTTTTGAATTTTCAAAATCGATTCAGAATTGCGGGCTAAAACGTAGACGAAAAATTTTTCACTTTTCTGCCATTTATAAAGAAACGGCTTGGCCGATCGTCGCACAAAACTGACAAACAATAGTTCTCGTCGAGATACATCGAATGGCTTTTAAATTTTTGAAATCGACCCAGCCGTTTTCGAGAAAACGTCGATTTACGGCAAAAAAATCTGTTGGTGCACACGCACACAACACACATACACACACACACACACACACACACACACACACACACACATACTTTTTCAAATTTGGTCTCATTCGATTCAGAATGGCTTGAAACGTCGAGAAAACATAAAATTAGCGAATCGGATTTTTTGATGAAAACATAAACTTCTCCTTCGGGAAGTTAACAATAGATACAAACACCCAAAATGGTTTATATCTTAATGACTGAATGCGATAATGGAAACGTGTTCGAACAAACATACTTCATGTTTCTCTCTTTGGACCCTATCTCAAATCTCTCAAATTAGTATTGTTCGGCTGTAATGACGACAATTAATTGTAGAAAAACTAAAATGGGTAGAATTTCAACATGATGATAATACGAAGCATACGTTGAAAGTAACAAAATATCATTTATTGTGGTTCAAATCCAGCAATGACATATTAGATTTCTGAGATCAATCTTTTTATTTTGAAATAATATATTAATCAATATCAATCAATAACTAGTTGTGTGTGGCATCGTGCCTTAAGGCAAATTGCTGGAACTTCCCTTACCGTAACGAAATATATTCGAGAAGTATTAAATGTTTTCACATAGATTATTATAAATACTGTAACATGAACTAATATTTATAAGAGTTATATTAACTGAATTACAAAGTTACAATTATTTATTTAAAGTATATAAGTGAGCTTTAGATTTTTAGCCAAAATAAAATTAAAATCTGAATTATTTTCGATATACAAAAAAAAAATTGAAATATTTTTTTTCCAAAGCAATTTATTTGTCAAAACAAGCAGAAAGTTTTTTGAATCATTCAAATCAGATGCTTAATTCTCTCAAAAATTATTTGAGTGCTATTTTTGCACATTTAGCTCGGTATCTCCGAAACGGCTGGACATGCCTTCGCCAAAATCTAATCATCACTTCTTTCCGTCATTACGAATTAACAAAAAACAATTAAATATAATTTTCTTTAAAGACGTTAAAATATTTTGCAAGCGATGTATTTACTTTTATTGTGAGAACACATTATGCTCTGTATTATTGAAAAATGAATTAATTAAAAAAATTAAATTAAAATATAATTTTGTTTAATGACGTTAAAATATTTTGCAAGTGATGTATTTAGTTTTATAACAAAATATTCTTGTGACATTTACCAAGAATTCATTTCACTATTGGTGATACAGGCTCTAATATTTTGTAATATAATTTATAAAGTTTATGTAAGAAATTAGTAAAACACATATAGCAAGAATATATAAATTGACACCATTCGTATTGTCGCGATAATATGGAAATGCCACTGTATGTAAACATTAAACATATTTAAATAAAATGTAAAATGAGAGTAGCGTAATATATTACATCCAGCATATTTCAATTATATTCTTGGTAAATATGACGTAAAAGTAAATAAAACGAAGTATTTGTTATGGATTTGTATATGAAAATGCTAAATGAGTAGAGGTACCTGTAAAATATGCAGAATATATGAGAACTGATTTCAGATGAGGCTACTTTGCATGATGCTTAATAAAATAAATAAACATAATGTAATTATTATCATTAAAAAAAACGATACAAAGTTATTTAGGAATTCAACGAGCATAAGTACAAGTCAACTACAAACTTTCCGATCTGAAATATATAACAGCGCTGAGAAATATTTGATGATTTATCTCTGTCATCAAACTCTATCGAAATCGTTAAAAATCTCTGTCTATTGTTCAGTGCCCTGTCTTGAATCATATATATCTCAAAATCATGAGAATGATATGTAATTTTTTTTTCGATATCCTACGTCTAACTTTTATGAACAGGGACATGTAGTCTTTGACCTGTTTGATTACTAATGCATATAGTGCGATTGTGACGGTTAGATAATATTACATTTCTATAAAGAGAATTCGAACAGCTCAAAACTAAAACAAGTTTCGCACTAATTATTGGTATGTCAGATTTATGAGCTAAACTAGTGGAGCATTGCATCGTGTATTAAGGCTAATTGCTGGATTTGTCGTACCAAAAATTAAAATTTTTAAAAAAGCTTTAACTTTGGAAAAAAATAGTTCTGTGAGAGTTTTGAAAATTTTGAAAAATTGACTTTTTTTAATTGAAATATTTTGAAATTTCTGAAATTGTTGAACTTTTTTAAGTAATGCTTTAGCTGCGTAGATACGAAATATCGTAAACATTGGTACGGAACCCATAGTAATGTAAACAAAATTTGTACTTATTATTAAAATCTCTATAAGTTATCATTTTTGACCGCCAAACAGCATTTTTTTTACTATTTCGTTGGATCTCTGAAACCACTAGACCTGCCTTGCCAAAAATTTAATCAGTTCTTCATTCAAATCAGACAATCCGTTGTCTCAAAAACTGAAGTTCCTTTTTTGGCACTTTTTGTCCCATATCTTCGAAACGGCTGGACTGCTTTCGCCAAAAAACTAATCAGTTCCAATCTTCAATAGAGGAAACGAATGTTTTTTGAATTATCCAAATCGGTTGATCCGTATTCCCGAAATCGTCGTCGATTCCTTTTCTAAGGAATGCCAAAATGTTTGCAGAAGATATGCAAAAAATTTCATTTTCGATTTTTTTGCGATACTACACAACAACCCTACGTGAAGTTAAAATGATTTCATAAAGAATTTAAAGAAAAAAAAATGTTTTTTCTATCTTGTGTTATATTTTATTATAGGTTTTGTTTAACTGTTTATATTTTATCGTGTTACATATTATTATTATTAACGACAATAAAAAGCGTTATAAACTATTTTGGTGTT